ACCAAAGAATTTGCGGCTCCTGTCAAACCTAGAACACCTATGCTGTAGTAAAGACCACAGCACAGACAGCCTGTCAGTGGAAGACCCATCTGACAGCAGCAAAAAGAAAATAAAGTTTAGCACATATCATTGTGCCATTCTTTTCTTCTCTTAACCCAGGAAGACAGACTATAGGAAAGGACCACACTGTAAGAAATGTTGTCTCCTAAATGGAATAAAATATCCGTCCAAAAACTAGTTAGCAATTGACTATCAGAAGTAATACAAGATGTGCTGAGAACTCAGTAGCCGCTGCCCCTTGTCCTTTATGTTGCACATTAGTAACCCTGACTACTTGGATGTGTTCATGTTGGTGCTTATGGGTGTGCGCAAATGAAATCTACAGAAGAAGGAGTGTGAATGGGTAAAACTAACTCATGCAGAGATTTTGTAAAGATGAACGTCTTCCATAAATTCTCACAATGAATTTTGTTACATCACTGTCCTGCAGTGCAGATTGCAATGCACTGTAACAGCAGTGTGAGCCAGTGTAAGCACCTGAGCTGCTGCATATTGCAATGCACTGTAACAGCAGTGTGAATAAGCCCGTGTAAGCACCTGAGCTGCTGCACGAGTGGGCTCACTAACTCTTGCTCAGCACTGTACTAATGCTGCTACACAGGAGAGGAGCCAGTTTCTTCTCCAAACTTGAAATGTAATGCATGAACTACTATCTCAGACCAGCTCAAGAGTAACTATGCCAGATGCTATTGAGGCTAATTACTTCAGCTGCTCTATCTTGTTCATGTGCTGGCCCTGTTTTTAGTTCCAAAACAGAGTTCAAGACTCCCTTGAATAAGTCACATATACAGCAGAGACAGGTAGATAGAAGGCAGCGAGGATTGTAAGTGAAGAAAAACAATCACTCATTGCATTTCTTAAAGAAATTTCAATTTCTTCAAATTGTTCCATAAAAATATGAAATATAAAAATGAAATACATAACAAAATGAAATGAAATTAAATGGTCAGTCTTAGTTCCTGGCTGTCTCCCGAACTCTTTAGAACATGTAGATTTACAAGAATTATCTAACAGACAGGCAAAACTTTCCTAGCCAAAATTCAGACGCATGGCATTTATTGTTCTCCTACAGCTGTGGAGATATATTCACTCGCTTCTTTGCCTCCTACTTCTATATTATTGATTACTGATGTGCTATTATTAACGTAATGACCTCCTTTCTTGTTCAGATAGATAATGGAGGACCTTTGGTTTGTCTAGGCCAAGACAGGTTTGTCCAATACGGAACATCTCTTGGGGCTTTGGTTGTGCCCTTCCTAAGAAACATGTCTTTGTCCAAGCTTCTAGTTATATTTCTTGGATTAAGAATATAATGAGAACCAACTGATCCTGGGAATGGACTGCCATCTTCTGGAAAGTGCTATTAACATTAGAAATAAAAGATTACAATTATATTAAATTTTAAGAATGCAAAATAAATATAAAATAAGAATAACATAAATGTAACCCATTACAAATTCTGTAAACTATACTCTCTCATAAATAACCAAACCGATAGTTTGTTTTCTTTTTTTCAATATCCCTTGCATTTCAAAGTATTTTACAATAAACACCTGTGAAGCACCTATTCAGAAATCCCATTACTGTGTGTATCTGGACTTCAAACATACTTCTAGCCCCCATATAAACCTTTAGAAAGCAAATTTCTCTTGAAATTTTACTGTTCTAGTTATTTTGTGCTCTCAACATTTTTTACTGAGCGCCTGTTAATAGCTGTACATAAAGGTTTCTCTGAGGACCTCTCATAGGTCGACACACAGCTGAATTATGGAGACAGAGACCCTCCACAGCTGAGCTATGGTCTGTGGATGCCTCTTTCAGACAACAGTATGTGTTATGTAGCAGTCTCCATGATCTGGAGCTCACATAAGGATTCCTAGGCATTCCTAGGCCTTGGGTTTATATCCTTCTCAAGATGCAATGCAGGCAGAGGGAAA